GCCCTTTTCAGGGCCGCCCACCTGGTCTCATGAAGGACTGTGAGCAACCACCGAGCCTCAAGGTAATTTGTCGCTGTTATGCTGTAGTTAAAATATATGTATTTTTAGAGAGGAAGGGAAATATGGAACACCAGTGATGAGAGAATCCTTGATCTGCCTCCTGCACGCCCCACACTGGGGGAGGAACCCACAACCCGGCCCTGTGCCCTGACCTCCTGGTTCATAGGTCGACTGGGCCACTGAGCCACACCGGCCGGGCTTTAATCGCAACAGTTTAGACTCCTTTGCATCCAAAATCCGGCTGTTTTGTTTTGGGGGCCATTTGGGGTGATCCTGGCTTAAGATGGCGCCTCTCAAATGACCCCAAAGAAGAAAGCCAGTTGGGGCCCTCGCGTGTGGAAACTCCCTGGTATGCTACCCCCTTGAGCAAATGACCTTGGGGATGGCAGCAGTTCTGGTTGAAATGTGACTAATTTGTTTCTTTGTTCCCTGAGCACGAACTTTCACTTTCCCAGAAGGTTCCCCTGACCTGGCACCCCGCGTCCTGTAGAGGGCGCCTGACTTAACTCACCGCCCTGCAGGAAACACCAACAAAGCCGGGGTGAAGAGGCAGGAAAACGCAAAAATAGCTGCAAAAGGACACCTAATGGTCGCCCGAGTGCATTCCTGAGGTCGTGAACCCTAGTATGGCGTAGGTCATTGCTCATCTTGCTTTATTTCCAACATTTTGACCATTAAACGCTCCTTACCGTGTTGTCAACCTACCGCCTTCCCATCTGCAACCGTGAGTGCATCCTTCATTTTTCTAGGCAGAAGGAGCCTTTAGGTCACCCCCTGCTCCCCCTCCCGCCTGCGACCTAAATCCTTCCCCTCATTTGTGCCCCTTAAACCCACAGTGAAAACACAGTGTTACGGGGACAGCGTCCGTCCGTGCCTGTTGGGTGTTAGGATGGTTGCTCATGGCGGCACCTTCCACTGACAATGACGTGGCTGGACATGAAGCAGCTGGAGAACCTATTCGAACTACAGCGATATCCCAGGGTGAAGTGTTCATGGTCTCTCCTGGCTCCTTCCCTTCCATATGTGTCGTTTCCCTTCCCTTCGGGGTTCTTTGGCTGATTTAATAATCAGAGTCACAGAATAACAGGAGAAAAACGGCTTTTCTTTTGTACATACAAGAGCTCCAAAAAATGTAAGACCCAAAGGCAGTTGAGGATTGTCTGCCATCCTGAGCTAAGGAATGGGGGGGGGGGGGGCCTGGGGCTGAAAAAACTGCAAAGGGGGGGGGGGACTCACAGGGAAAGAGCAGCTGTTCTACAGGATGCCCCGTCCTACACAAAGGTCAGCAGGTCACAGCTCTGTTAATAGCTCCCTCTCTGGGACAGGCCCACTATCTAAATTCTTTTTTATGTTTTTATTTTTTTTGTTTTAATTTTTTTATTGCTGATAGTACTACGGATATCTCCCATTTTCCTCCCAGCCCCTGCCCCCACCCCAGTGTCTTCACCATCCTACTGTCTGTGTCTATCGTGTTTCCCTCCACGTCCTGCGTGGTTCAGGGTTCGGGTCTGGAAGAGGAGCCGCACACAAATGAAAGAGAAAAGACACGAGATAATTTGGGAATATTGGGGCACCAGGCGGGCAAGTCCAACTCAAGAGGAAGGACTTCCACTGTGCTCAGGCCTCACCAAGCTTTTTATAGTGAGAGGTAAACAAGGTAGTGGTTACCAAAGTTACACAGTTCTTGTGAGTTTTACTTGTTTTGACCATGGTTACACTTCCTGCACTTCCTCAGCCCATTAGCTTCCCAGATAAGATCCAGGGAGTGTTATAAGGTCAAGCCTAATTATGCTAAGAGGACTGTGCCCTCTAAGCTAGGACTTGTTTGTGACTTTGCCAGGAGGTCAGTCCGAGGCTTAACCCTATATCAGTTTCCCACATGTGTCTAAATTCTTCTAGGCATAGAAGTTTTTCCTGAGTCCGCTGGGTCTTTGCCTCGAGACCAAAATAATTCACATGACAAATAGCACATTTTGGAGCAGCCTATTCTCCAGTTCAGTTTTATTTTTTAATATATTTTTATTGCTTTCAGAGAGAAACATCAATGATGAGAGAGAATCATGGATCGGCTGCCTCCTGCATGCCCTCCACTGGGGATCGAGCCTGCAACCCCGGGCATGTGCCCTGACCGAGAATCAAATCGTGACCTCCTGGTTCATAGGTGGACACCCAACTGAGCCACACAGGTGGGGCCCCTTCGGTTTCATGTCAATTTAATTCTCAGGCCCCCAGCCAAGGACCCTGGAGGGTAGAGGTAAAACCTGATGTCCCTGCAAAGGCCACGGAACATCTAAGAAAAGCCTCGCCACAACCACAGAAGGGAGCACAGAGAGCCCGGTGCCCTGTGCCCTGTGCCCTGGGGTCTTTGCGGAAGAGGACAGGTGCTCCCTGGGGCCAGACCCCCTGGCCTCACACCTCAGCTCCACGGTGGGCACAGACACGTCATACACCTGGGGCCTCAGTGCCAACGCTTACATGGAGGTCATAACGCTGATGTCTCTCCGGGCTCCTTTGAGTATTAAATGAGCCTAATGCATGCACATTCGTACCTTAGAACTGGCTCCTCTCTGTCTCTTTTATTCAAGTAGCACAGACAGAAGAGGAGACGGAAACATCGGACCATCTTCCCTAAGGGGCCGAACGCCACGCAGTGAATGACTCGTGTTACCTGCTCCTCGCCTCCCGGTGTAACATACATGATGCAGCCTTGGCAGCCCCCGCCCCCCGCACACACACACCTGTACCCGGAGCCCCGCCGTGGGAGAAAGGACACTCCTGGCAGCGTGTCCCCACACGGCCCTGTCGATCGGGTGTCGATGGAAATCCCCCGTCAGGGAAAGGCCATTAGAGCGACCGGGCAGCAGTCCTCTCTTAAGCCGCCACCGATACTTTTCCCAGGAAATACACCACCAAACACACGATTATTGTATGAAAATACACAAACTGTATTTTAAATATATACTGTTTTTTAACAATTTGCCTGCCATTAGCTTCTATAGACCAACTTTAAAATCATTTTCGAAAGAATCTTGAACTGAAAATATTCAAGAACATCCAAATCGTAATATATTTATTTTTATAATATTCATTGCAAATTGATTTCTTAAATTCAAAATATCGTGGCGTGTGGGGATGGTTTCTGTTTTGGACACGTGGCAATGAACTGGTTAAAATATATTTTTATTGTTAATAATATTACAGGTATCTCCCATTTCTCCCCCCCTTTACCCTCTCCTCCC